CAGCTTAGTTGGAATGATACAAGAAATATTATTATAGAAAATTAACTAAAATTTGCTAATTTAATAAAAATATGCGGGTTTTATTACGATGGTTCCCCTCCTAAGTTGATTAAAGATTATAACACATTAGATTAAAACACATCTGCAATTATTGATGTCTATGGGATGAGGTCACATCGCTATTTCAGCGATTTCTGATGGCCGCTTGTTCGTTTGCCACGTTATAAAAATGTTGAATGTGTACCTTCTCAATATGCTTCTGGAGGTTCCTGACGCCGCTCTCCCGGCAGTAGGACTTGATGAGGAGTGCGAGCGCGGCGGGCTGCAGGTCCAGCTGCTGCTCGCTCAGGCCGCAGTTCTTGCGCGCAGTCGGCACCAAGTACTGCTGAGCTATCGCCATCTTCTCTTCCGCTACGTAACCTGTTCAATATAAACAGTTTTTTTTAATCGGTGCTACTAAAGAGGTTGCATTGACCGCCGGATGGCTTAACATTTAAAAAAAAAAGGTAAAAAATAACCATGAAAATAAAATTATGACAAAATTATACAGATTTTTAAAAATATTAAACGGAGAATAATATAACCATATTAGATGGAGGCCATTACTCTTATTCTCTTTAAAAAAAAAGCAAATATATTATAATTGAAGGTTAACTTCATCTATAATCTGTGAGAAAAGTGATTGAAATAAAAAAAACTATAGTATAGTATGAAAACATTGCACATTAACTTACCGGACATATCAATAAGCTCCATGCGGTCTCTGAGAGGTTCTGGTATGTGCTCGACCACGTTGGCGGTGCAGATGAAGAGCACACGCGACAGGTCCACCGGCACGTCTAGGTAGTGGTCCAGGAAGTTGGCGTTCTGCTCCGGGTCCAGCAACTCCAATAGCGCAGACGAAGGGTCACCGTGCACGCCCCTGTATACAACATAAGCCATATTGTAGCCCCTACTGAGGGACTCGGAGCCTACCCTAAGTTAGGGGTGACTAGGCCATAGTCAACATTAAAGCCTAGGTTGACTTCACATATCTTTGAATTTCTTTAATACTTAAATTATATTTTTTAAAATACCCGTGATATTTTAGACCCCTCCTTGTGATGTTTCGTGATTTTTTCAGAACCCCTTCGTAGAATCACGTGATTAATGGACGGATCTTTTTATAATTTTACATTATTAAAAATTCAAATAATTTTCGATACCAAAAAACAGCAACTATCGTACAAAATTAAACTTTAAAAAGACATCCGCTGAAACACCCAAGCCCGAACCAAATACCGTTGAAAAAAGTAGACAAGAAGCGGTCATTCTGAAGATAAAGAGAGGAAGAAGATTTCCGTCCAAAATCCCCGTATGAAACATTGCTATCTCTGTTTTGTTAAAGATAATGACAAGGATGACGATATATTTTATACACAGATTTCGCGTTCAGAAATCTGCCATCCTTTAGCCGAAAGTTTTTACCACTCACTTGCCAATCTTGTCGACTTCATCGATAAGTACTAATGGGTTCTCAGTACCAGTCTTCTTGAGGCACTGCACCAGTTTGCCTGGCATCGCGCCCACGTAGGTGCGCCTGTGACCTTTGATCTCGGCCACATCCGTCATACCACCTACGGAGAATCTGAAGTATTGGCGATTCAACGCACGTGCGATAGATCGAGCTGAAACAAACATACAAATGAAGGTAACTTTTGTACTACGAATCTCTTAATAGTACAAATTACTTAACAGTACTTGCGCAAGCTTCGGCTTTATTTTGTCTTAGCTTTCGCCCGCGACTCCGTTCGCGCGGAATTAAAGAAAACTTAATTAGTAGCCTATGTGTTCTTCATCATATTGAATATAACGTTCAAATTAATACAGTAATTTCTAAATTTATTTTACAGAATTTTGTAAATCAATTTATATATTAATACATACTAGCGGACCCGACAGACGTTGTCCTGTCTACACGTCTTTAATTTGAAAATTTCACACTGCGATGGTAGCGTCGTCTGTCGGATCCAATGTAAAACATTCCAAAATAAACAACTACTAATAAATTAAAAATTAATTAAAAAAACATTGTCCAGCGGACAAAATTGTGAATCTAAACCATTCCCAGATCCCCTTGAACACACACAAAAAATTTCATCAAAATCGGTCCAGTCGTTTGAGAGAAGTTCAGTGACATACACACTCACAGAAGAATTATATATATAAAGATATAAAAATTACCTTTTCTGACAGAAATAAATATGAATACTATATTCCATAATTATTAAAAAATCGATTACAATTTGCGTTGTAAAATTTAAATAAACAGATAATATAAAATACGATTTAAATATTTGATTATCTGTATTTAATCTTATCGGACCAATTATTAGCAGAAATATCCAAATATCTCTAAAAGTTGATGCATAACTAACCTTGGGAAGAACAGCATCTTAATTAATTTTTCAACACACTTCTTAACGCAGGTTCCCAATTCGTGTGTACGTCTTTTTAAATCGAAACAAACACGACAACTGATACAATTACGTTACGTACTGATACGTTTCTGCTTTGCCAGATTAACACTGATAACACAATATTTAATATGTCATTTGCAAAGCACGATGACTATGAAATTTATTATTACATAGAGGTTGTTATATCTTAGTGGCTTGGCACATCGGTAGCAAGAGGGGGGAGTACATTGCGCTTCACATTTTTTTTATATCATAAGGTGACAAACTAGCGAGCGACCACCTAAAATCGCTGAAATAGCGTAGTGACCGTTGCCCATAGACATAAGCAATTGCATATGCGTTGCCTACCTTTAATCGACGGAGGAGAGGATGCACAGAAAGAAGATATTTTCCCTTTCCGTGCATCCTCTCATCAGGAAAGTCCACTTTCACTTCCCATCCTTTCCTTATAAAAAAATTGGTGGGAAGGCAAAGAGGACTAAATGAGGTCTCCGGGACCCACACTCATCAGACTGTACGCCTGTCTTCTGTGTGGTCGTGGTATTTCACCGAGCGAGCCGTGACAATTCGTGCGAAGATGTTAAAGCGGGCTCTACCACTGTCACATATATTAATATGAGCAAAGATATTTAAATAACTACCTTAAACGTTACCTTACTTATTTTCTTTTCCGTAACAGTATTTTTGAAACCCGAAACATGCTGTATAAATATCGGATATCAGTGTTGTTTTTTTTTTTCAAGAATATGAAAGGGATGACGATATGTTTTTACATAAATGTCTTACTTATATTATAAATGCGAATGTTTGGATGAATGGATTGTATGTTATAAGGTATCTCCAGAACGGCAGCGCGGATCTGGATGGAATTTGGTATAGATGTAGAACACTGTCTGGAAGAACATATGGGCTACTTAACATTTTTTTTTAAATTCTGCGCAGACGTAATCGCAGGCAAAACATAGTAGATAACAAATCGATTACTATCATTTAAAATGACTAGATAAAAAGACAATTTTATTAATTAATTGATTGTCATGAAAATTAGACAACGCGACATCGTCAAAATGGCTCATCATTATTTGCAAATTATTGTCATGCCACTTTCACAAATTGAAACAATAACAATGAAATAATTTAAAATAACTACCAACAGACAAAATATCTAAATGAAATCTCTATATATCAAAATTATATAAAACACATGAAAAAAACTTGGACAAGTGTAAAAAAAAAACAATTTGAGATATACTATGAATATAAGAAACAGATTATTTTAATAAAACAAGGGGGCAAACGAGCTGCGGGAACACCGAGGTGTACATCGACGCCAATGGACATCTGCAATACCAGAGAAACCGCAAATGGTGGCTCTAACCTTGCTTGCTTTTAAGGAAGAATATAAAAGGCATGCTTAGATACTTTGGATATGTTCAAATAATGAAAGAAAATAAATAATAAAGGAACGGCGAAAATTGGGGCGAAGTGTAATTATGTGTAACTCAAGAAGGGTGATATTTAGAGCAGCCTTAACCGACGTGCATATATTTAGATGTATGGATGTAGGACCGAGAGAAATGTATAATATCATCGCCAAATTTACATAGGTCTTTAGTCTTTGCCTTTGCCCTCTGAGTACTGAGCACCGGCAAATTGTATATGAGGGTCAATAACCAGTCGCATTTAGTGTAGAATTTGATTGCTCAGCTTTTCAATATATAATACCGTCGCTGTTTTGTGGAAGACAATATAAGGGATCATAATATCTTAATATTATAAATGCGAATGTTTAGATGGATGGATGTTTGTTTGAAGGAATCTTCAAAACGGCTGAACGGATCTCGATTAATTGGCATACCCAATTGTTTATTCTCTTTAAGTTAAAAAAAAATTAAAACAAAATATACATAAGCTTTGTTTATCTATGCATTCACACTGTACACGTTATACATACGTAAATTTAATAGTGGTAGATGCCAACTACAGTTGGTCCAAGAATGGGCAGTAGCAGGACCAAACAAGACGATGAGAATGTCATAAGCCTAATTTTACCCCCCTTTTCGTTCACACATTTTTGTTATAAGGGGCAGTGGGTTTGTCGGAGAATAAGACGCGTTGAAGGTGTAAAAATCCTCTTTCTGTGCATCCCTTCCTCCCTAAACTTAAAGTAGGCAACGAATCTGCAATTGCAGATGTATGTAGGCACCTGTCGCTTCATAATTCTGGTAAATTCAGGTGGTCGCTTAGTAGTATGTTCTCAAGACGACAGAAATTATTCAGAGAAGGTACCAAAAAAAAAATAATACCATACTCATAAAATAAAGAAATGTTACCTTTTGCAAAATTTACGAAAAGGATAAAAAATGGACACAATCCTAGTTTGTTGATAAGATTTGTAAAAAAAAAAGGAATAACATTTATTATACATTTCTCTAAAGGAAAAATTGTAATTTATTTAAATATCATAGATTGCCTCGCTCCAAGGGTGAAAAGGATGGCTGACCAATTTGGGCAGAATTAAATTTAATTTGTTTTTTACCAAATTCCAACATTTAAACAACCAACAACGAGACAAGATTTGCTGATGTAGCGATTCTCTGATAGCATTAAAGCGGGCGAGATAACCACTGTTGTATAAATACGCGCGTGTGCTAGAGCTGTGGCATTCAGTCGCATCCCGTAGCAGCAGCAACAAGGTCGACAAACATGATGTACACACTGGTAACTATAGCAGCTTTGCTCGCAACATTGTACTATTACTTCACCAGGACATTTGATTACTGGAAGAAAAGAAACGTCGTCGGACCCAAACCGCTACCGTTCTTCGGAAACCTCAAGGACTCCTTCCTACGAAAAACATCATTGATAGTTCTCAACAAAAACATCTACAATGCCTATCCTGAAGAAAAAGTCGTCGGAATATACAGAATGACAACACCGACTTTACTGATACGAGACTTGGACATCATTAAGCACGTCCTAGTTAAAGACTTCGAACAATTCATCGATAGGGGAGTGGAATTCAGCGACAAGGGTATGGGAGCTAACTTGTTCCACGCCGACGGCGAGAGGTGGCGTATTCTGAGAGGACATTTCACTCCAGTGTTCACGTCAGGGAAGCTCAAGAACATGTTATATCTGATAACAGAGCGAGCGGACAAATTCATCCAGTACATCGACGAAATTACCCAGCAGCAACCGGAGCAGTCTATGCATCAGCTCTTCCAGAAGTACACAATGTCGGTGATCAGCGCCTGCGCCTTCGGGGTGGATCTCGACGACAACATAAGAAATACATTGGAAAAAATAGATAAAATGATATTTTCTGCAAACTACAGCACAGAATTGGATATGATGTATCCCGGTATACTGAAGAAGTTTAACGGCTCCATCATGCCCAGCTACGTGACTATGTTCTTCAAAAAACTCGTGGAACAAGTGATAAAGCAGAGAGGTGGACGACCGACGGATAGAAAAGATTTTATGGATCTCATTCTTGAATTGAGACAGCAGAAGACAATCGAAGGTCGGAAAAGATTCGAAAATGAAAAACAACCGACACTGGAACTGACTGACAGTATAATTGCTGCTCAGGCGTTCGCTTTCTACGCGGCCGGATACGAGTCGAGCGCGTCTACTATGGCCTTCCTATTGTACGAGATGGCAAAGAACCCGGACGTACAGGATAAGCTCATGAAAGAGATCGATAATGTCCTCAAGCAAAACAACGGCGAGGTGAGCTACGAGTGCCTAAACGAGATGACATATTTGCATCAGGTGTTCGACGAGACATTAAGGATGTATCCATTGGCGGACCTCATACAGCGCGTTACTCGCACGGATTACAAGGTGCCGGGCACCGACATTACGCTGGAGAAAGGCACTCCGGTGATCATGAGTGGATGGGGTATACATATGGACCCAAAATACTTCCCCGACCCGGAAAGATTTGACCCGGACCGTTTTAGCATGGAAAATGCGAAGAAACAACATCCCTGCGCTTATTTACCGTTCGGAGCCGGACCGAGGAACTGCATTGGTATGTACATTTTTAATTTTATTAACTAAAGTAAACATTTATTTAAATGGGAAAAAATTAATTTATTTATGTTGTAAAAATTAAAAAAAAAAAGTTCATAGAGCAGTTTTACCAGCAATGTTTAATTTGCAGGAATGCGGTTCGCTAAAACACAATCACAAGTTGCTATGGTCAAATTCTTTTCCAAATTCCGTGTGGAGCCTTCGAAGAAAACTGCTGTGAATATCACATACGACCCGATGCGTGTATTCCTATTACCCGAAGAAGGAATATATGTTAATATTGTGCGACGATAACAAACAACTGAAATTGGCCACTTTACATTTCATACGTTTTTTCAAGAAAAAAACAATATTTCAAATTATTTACCATTGTATCATGTCTCAATGTATCTTGTGGTCATTGTCTTCATATTGGGGAAAAAAATAAAATAAAAATCGGGTATCTGGGTGTGACTTTAAAATAAAAATTGTTTTTTTTTAACGAGATTCACAGTACAAGCTCCGCCCCTAAGATACGTGCTAAGAAAGTACGACTATATCTTACCTCTCGCTCTAACCTGCTCAGCAACACGTTCTGATACGTGATTGGTCAAAACGCTATTAGTTCTATCCGTAATAAAATCGATGTTAATTACTTATTACCATTACCAAAACACTTATACAAAAACTTATCATTCTCTTTAAAATCAGACACAACATTTTAACACAAAAGAGTCGTCAGTGGACTTTTAAGGTTAAAGATAAAAAAAATGTCTGTTTGGAAATTAAATATGCTATTTAAACAATTCTTTCATCAAAACTCAACTTTTTCTAATATTTATTCTTTGCTCGTTTGCCACATTGAAAAAAAAAAGTAGAATCTAACCTAAAATATTTGTATAATGTCACAAGTAACCAGTTTGAAGTCCCCGGGTTGCTATGCAATATTACTAATGATGTAAATGTAAAAATTTAAATGGATGGATGGACTCCAATAACTCCAAAACAATTAAAATTTAAAAAGAATTAGATTTGTGTCTGAAATAATACATAGGCTACTAAGTTTTATTTAATTATTTTTTAGTAAACATATAGTAAATCATGAAAAAACTTACCTATACTAGTCTTTCCAACACCAGGAGGTCCATGGAAGCATAATATCTTGCCCTGGGTTGTACCTTTCAGTTGAGACACAGCGATAAATTCTAAAATTCTCTTCTTGATATCCTCCATGCCGTAGTGGTCCTCGTCCAGGATAACCTGAGCATCTGCCAGCTTGAGGTTCTCCTCTGACGTCACACCCCATGGTAGTGACGTCAGCCAATCGAGGTAGCAACGTGTTACGCTGGAAAAAAGTAATTTACGAAGAGGTCTAGAAAAACTTTATAAATTGAAAACATCAGCACTACATCTAAAATGAGTTTATTCGTTTTTAATATATTATAGTTATTATAAAATTATATACAAATTTACAATATTATTTAATCGAACTTTATTCACGACTACATTTATTGTTAACTTTTCGAATTCCCGCGCGATTTTCTCTTTTGTCACATATCTTTTTTTTAAATAAAAAAGGCAAAGGTTTTATTAGTCATTATGCCACCTCTTTGACAGACTGTTTATTCTATGTCCACCAAAGAGTTATGATACGTAATTTAGCACTCAACAATAGCAAAGGCATAATAATAAAAAAAATCATTTTTTATGTTTTCAATAAATTCAAAATGCTTATAATTACTTAAATCCTTTGAAGTTATAGAAATAGTAACCAATGTGGGTTATAAAATCTAAATTATTTTACTGACCATTTTATAATATTCGACTAGATTTTACATCTCAATTTAATTACATATTGAACAAGAATTTGCGCATTACATTTTTATTCAGAATTTATCATAATATAATACTAGTATAATGATAGTTACTTGAACTCGGAACTGTGGCTCTCGAGGAAGTTGAGTTTGTTAAGCTCCTCATCAATGACAGTCTGTACGGCGGCGGGCACTGTCTTGTCAGCGAGACGCTCACGGAACTTGTCACCTATCGCATCCTTGTCATCCTTCTCCAGACCCAATTCTTTCTTTATCACCTGCATGTTTAACGTTAAATGCGAATGTTTAGATGGATGTTTGAAGGTATCTTGCTAAAATTTGGTATATATTTTGAACACAGTCTGGAAGAACACGTCGAGTATTAATAATTTTTTATTAATTCCACGCGGACGGAGTCGCGGGCTACTGCTAGTATTACATATGCATACTATTATAACTAATTTCTAACTAATTTCTGTCCCCGTTTCCCACACTTTTCTTATAAGGAATAGATGGAAAGGGTAATTGATTTGTCGAAAATGTGGATGCATAGTTAGGGAAATATTATCTTCCTGTGTCCTACTTCGTTGATTAAAGGTGTTAGAAAGAAAATCCGACACTGTGCCGGTGTACTGGCACAACACTAGCCTTATTAAAATGTCGACGTTTATGTCCCCTCACTATTCATTCTGACTTTGTAACGAGCGCTAAGTTTCACGCCAACGGATTCTAACTAATAATGTCTAAAAAGGATAAGCAACGCAATTGAAACTACGGATGTTTATGGTCAGCGATAGAATTCAGCTGGCAGTTTGTTCATTTGCCACTTCATGACATAAAAAAAGTTAGGTAATAAATGTAGAGGAAGGACACTAATATATAATTAACTTGCCTTGAGCTGCTCATGTAGAATGTATTTCCTGTGCTGCTGTTTCACCTTCTCTTCTACTTCTTTACCGATCTTCTGTTGTAACTTTGACAGCTCGTATTCCTTCTTTAAGAGTGACAGGGACATCATCAGACGTTTGGGAATCTGAAAGAAATGTTTAATATGTATTATAATAAAAAAATTATAAAAAAAAATAGATCAGAAAAAGCAAAACAGCTTTTTTTGGTTAAATATTGCGGCAGTGATTTAAATACTCACATCAGTCTCATCCAGCACGGCTTGCAGCTCAGCCGGCTCGGCCCCGGTCAGCGCTGCGCCCAGGTCGCTCAGGTACACTGGGTTATCAACCACACGTTGACCTTGAGCTAACATGTGGTGCAGCGACTCTCTGTTATTAATAACAACAAAAATAGGTATCTTAAACGACTAGGTGTCGCCCATGACTCCGTCCGCACGGCATTAAAAAAACATAATTACAAACGAGCGGCGGGAACACCGAGGTGATCAACAACACCCATGTATGCCAAATTTCAGCGAAATCCATACAGCCGTTCTCGAAATACCTTCAAACAAACATACATCCATCCAAAGATTTGCATTTATAATATTAGTAAGAGTAAGATATCCGCGAGAAAAACATTACAATCGTGAGATAATTTAGAATTAATAATGTTTCAAACCCTTACCGATACAATGGATTTAAATTAATAATATCTCGTATAGTCTTAATAACTTCTTGAGTTAAAGCTTTCACTTCTTCGTTCTGTTGGAACTTATCGTGCATCACATTTTCCACCTTCACCATCAGAACTTGATCGGTGACTGGTTTCTTCTTCTCCACCTTCTCCTCCCCCTCCACGTCGTTACTCTTCCGTCTATTATTCCGGTGCTTCCTCCGCCTGCGTTCAGCATCTGATTCTTCGCGGGTAACATTAATTTCCGCATCAAATATAGGAAACTTGAGCTTCATTTCTGAAATGATAAAATATCATTTCAGAAGCGAAGCCTAACACGTAATTTTATGTCTTGGGTTTCGACTTGTATCGAAATATTGTCATCCTTTTCATTGTCAGTGTAAAACAAAGAAACAACGATATGTTTCAATCTTAAACATTTCAATTTAACGACAACAAAAAGCTAAACATCATCATATTAGCTGTCGCCAGCGACTCCGTCTGCACGGAATTAAAAAAAAAACTATTTAGTACCCTTTGTGTTTTTCCAGACTATGTTCTATATCTATTCCATATAGGCGAGATCAGTTGAGCCTTTGCGGAGATACTTTCAAACAAACATCTATCCATCTAAACATTCGCATTTATAATATTATTAGCTATAGCCAGCGACTCCGTCAGCGCGTAGTTTAAAAAAAAACTAAATAAGTTGGCTATGTATTCTTCCAGACTTTGCTCTATATGTGTGCCAAATTTCATCAAAATCTATTGAGCCGTTCACCAGATACCTTTTAAAAAGCATCCATCTATCCATCTTAACATTCACATTTATAATATTAATGAAAAAGCAATAAGTTATTATATAGTATGAAGTATAATATATTAAGTACATAAGTAAGAAGACATTACGTAGGTAGAATGCGCTTAATACAATTTACATTTTATGTAGGTCCCTGCAACATGAAATTTTTATACGATTAGTTATCCCGTTTAATACGCCACACCCTATCTAAAGATCGAGCGCTCAAACGCCGAACTCGAACGAACAACGCTCTACGGTCGTTTCAGAGCGAGACAAACATACGCGAATTGTTCACACAAGGTTAACCGGCCCAGTCGGCAGTCATCTTTATGTTGACTTACACGTGTCGCGCGCGCTTTGTTCATTTAATATAATATTAATAAGATTATGCATCGTTCGTTTGTCATATAATGACGACGATTAAACGAAAGGCATTATCGCTTCAAGAAAAAATAGAGATATTAACAATTTTTGATGAAAAATCACAAACAAAAACTCAGATTCAGGTTGCCGCTGAGCTTCGAATACCAGTTTCAACGTTACGTACAATTTTAAAGAATAGATATGAAATAGAAGAAAAATACAAATTGGGCGGTGTGCAAAGAAAAAAACAAAAGGTAGGAAAGTTTGAGAATATAGAAAAAGTATTAGTCGAATGGATTCATCAAGCAAGAGCTTTAAATGTATCCATAAATGGCCCCAAAATATGCGATATAGGGCGTAAAATTGCTGAAAGCTTACAAATCACTGATTTTAAGGCTACAAACGGCTGGATAGATCGTTTTAAAAAACGTCACAGCATTGTATACAGTGAAATCAATGGGGAATCCGGAATCGAACACAGAGGTAAGCGAAGAAAAAAGCCCTAAGTGGTATTGATGAAGGCGAAAATGAGTCAAATCTGAATTTGACAAACGACCAGGTTAGCGGTTAGCTGGAATACGGATATAGCCCAATAGCTGACCAGAACTGATGCGGATGCCAACCGATCGCGACGACCAGTCACTTGACCCAACCTACGACCAGGCGAACGGTTACTATGCTATCCGTGAATTGACAATTAACACGTTTACCGACGTTCGCGCATTTTACAGATAATTAACCATCTATTTTAATACTGAGAAATTTATAATTGATAAACAAAATATACCTTGATAGAACCTTAGTCAAAATCTTGGGAAGAGTTGGTAGATATCTATGGACTTTATAACAGAATCAAAAAAGAATATGATCCGACCCAACCATAAAAACCGTCTGTTTCTCAATTTCACATTTCGGTGCAGCTAGCCGGGTTGCGGGTATGCGTAAACGCATTCTATCCCAAATGTGCGTACGTAGCCTAAGACGCTATGTAGCTTTGAATCAAAGCAAAGACGCAATAGAAAACTTAAATTATATCTATTGAAAATCTCGTTAATTGGTAATGGATAAAAATCTTTCCAATCATAATAAGTCATAACTTTAAATAACGCAATTATATTTTAATTAAACCATTTATTTACCGTTATATATAAATGTATAATTTAAATAAGAACATAATTGTAAATACATTAAAATAGTTAATTTTATTTTCTCTATCCCGCATAATACGCTTCCTCGCTTAAGAAGCGTTTTTGGTTAAGTCCCTGTAAAATCGTCTTAAATGAGTTTTAACTATATCATGGTTAGGTTAGTTAAGAACCTATTTCTGACTATAAAGATGTAATCATTAACCTTATTAATCGCCAAACTAATTTCACCTACATATAAATAACAAGTTGGATTCCTATAAGGAAATTCTAACAAGAGCATCAGTGCCTCAATCGTTAAACACTTGACATGTATTCTGCAAGTCCTGCATTCGAATTGGGTCATGTGCCACCAGTTATGTTCTGTCTCGCGAAATGAAGTAAAGGGGATTGCGAAGGTGCGTTTGGCCACGCTATATAGAGGTCCGCGGTGCCTGCCTACCCCTCTGGGACATAGGTGTGTCTGACAAACAAGTCAGTCTATAAGTTATTGTAAAATTGGTACAATGAAATCAAATAAAGTTAATATTAAACTCACCTGCAGGTCCAGTCTCTATTTCTTCCTCAATAAATTGTCCCGTTATCCTTATCCTTCTGTGAGCCATCACAACCAGTCTTAACTTATAATCCATATCTTGCATTTCATGTATCTGTGCAAACACTCCCACTTGATGAACATCATCTACGTTTGACACAACATCTGATTTCTCGTCTTCCTTCTTACGTAGAAATATACCAACATAAGGTTGATTGAGTTTCACCTTGCGTCTAATTAAATCAATTAGGGCAGGATTTGATATCTGAAAGATGTTAAGGTTGTTAACCGCTGAACTATTGTTAAACACTAGATACTGCTTTGAAATTACAGCTTTTGCCAAGGTTTAACTTAAAAGCGTCAGTTCAAGTTGTCTGCTAATTCAAACTCTATTATTAGTTTGAATTTCCAATATCACTACCAACAACTACTATTAGTATGAAATTGTTGAAAAATGTAAAAGACGTAAATTTCCATAGCTTATGGCATATCCAGAGGAATCTAGAGATCAGTGTAAATAATGAAATGGTGGAAGTACTGAATTCTGAGTTACAATCAATGAGAAAAATAGCAATAAACAACAAAACATCTCAAAGTGCAATAAAAACATATATACCACAAGCATATTCATTGGTTAAGACATAAATTTTTATACATAAAACACAAAAGTAAATGTATTAGCAATTCTAATGAAGTTACAAAAAGTAATATTTACATACTCTTATCTAACACACAGGCCTATTTACATTAAAATTAACATCAACAATACAATATTTAAAAAAAAAGTAAATGTTTCTTGTTTTTTTACTTGGCTGTACACTTCTGAAGGGCAAATAGAACAATATGTATGTTCGCTGTACATTTATGCCTAAGGCTAACCCACTACACTTTTTCCTCACCACTTAATAAGTATTTTGTTTAAAACAAGCCCCAAAGATATTGGTAAACATTCTAACTAACCTCAATAAGCTTAATAAATCTGGGAAATACTGGATTTCTGTTTATAGCTATGACCGGTACTTGAGGCCAAACTTCAGGAACGGCAACTGTAGCCGGCAACTGACTTGAAAACAATGGAGTCTCATCTTTAATAGCAGGATCTTCTTCCGGAGGATCATTCTTGTTTTCAGATGAATAGAACCTTTTACCATAAACCTGTTGCGGTGATAACTGGAAATTAGCACTAGAACCACAAATTCGACTGTCGAAGCTTACACCATTGTAATTTTGAGATATTTGCAGCTTAAAATTAAATGATGCAACTCTAGATAAGTTGCGAACTATTCGAGTCGTACTAGACTTAAGTTTTGGATTTAAGAAGACACCGTTCCGTATTAACAAGTTTACAGGATGCATATTTAAATCAGACTTATACACAGCCTCATATAACCATCCAGTTACAGATATTTATAATTTATTAGCAAAGGTTATATTTCCAGATCCTTCAAACAGAACCGATTAAGATTTTTGACATTTGTAGAATCGTTCATAAACAAAGTGGTTGGTTTTTTGGAATTTTGAGTATTTTTTGGTGAGAAGAATTTTGAGTATTTTTATTTTATATACTCTTTGGGTAAGATATTTGAAAATTATTTTGGAGATAATTTCAAATTTATAATACAATATATTTTTTTTAACAGCGAGCACGAGGACATAGAATTATAAAAGGAAATTCTTCGAAGGATTTTTATGAGTTATCTTTCAAAAAATTTCAACACTATAAATACTTTAGATACTCTTTCTTGTGCCACCCGCGTCCTGGATGCGGGTGGCACAAGATCGGTCATCGTGGCGATCTTTGGGGGAGGCCTATGCCCAGCAGTGGGCGTCTCATGACTGAGTAGATAGATAGATAGATAGATACTCTTTATTATAACTGTCAAACTTTAACAAGTCAATCAATGACGTTTGAAAAGACATGTGGAAGATCGTGGTGGAAATGTCATAACAAACAACTTTTAATGAACTCATGAAGTTATTGAGAATTTTGAAAAGAATGTCTGAGGTTAGACCTTTTTAGTGGCCTTTATTATACTTCTAAAGAGATTAAATTAAAAAGTTTTCATCCTCAACTAACCTTCAATTTGTAAACATTGTGCTCTTAAAATAGATTACAAAATCAACCCCTCCTTATATATTATTCGTTAAGCGATTTTTTTCCATAGACCATCATGAAGATGGAAGAGTCAACATTGGAAAAAAAATCATTAAAATCTATAAAAGAAGGGCAAGCCGAAATTTGTCTAAAGACAGATAAAGTATTTTATAATCCAGTACAAGAGTTTAATAGAGACCTTAGTATTGCTGTGTTGAGTGTGTTTACTGAGGAATTTATTGCTGAAAAACTTGCTCTGAAAAAAAAGAAAATACAGGATGTGAACACTGATATCAGTAATGATAACAATCAGGTAAGATTTTTGTTGTAAAATATTTTAAGTTTGGTTTAAATTCCATTTTCAGTAGTCCAGCATGATTGTCTGAGTTCTAGAAATAATTTATGGCATTTTTTTTTATTCCTTTGGTGGCAGTATTTACAAGCTGAACACGACAAGTTTGCTTTTAACTTTGACAATAGGTGTAGAATAAGATTTTATCTCATTGTTTTATGATTATGAAAAAATTATGGTTGCATTTCTTAATATTTTATTAATTTTTAAATATGGAAATCTGCATATAAAAAAAATTATGTTGTTTTCATCATAACTATCATTCTGTAATGAATAATTTTCAACTACAGATACCAGTGACAATCCTAGAAGCCCTATCCGCAACAGGCTTACGGAGCATCCGTTATGCAAAAGAAGTGCCAAATGTTAGTAAAATAATAGCCAACGACTTATCACAAGAAGCTGTTAATACAATAAAAGAGAACATAATCCATAATAATGTTCAAAACATTATTGAAACCAGTCATGATGATGCATGGTAAGTTACCATTGTCAAACACTGGTATATACAATATTAGAAAAAATGTCATTTTATATATTTCAAATTGATTAAAAATTTGTAAACAATCTCAATATATAATAGAAGATTGCCATAACATTTGTGTTTATAAGCTAAAGGAAATCAGAATTGTAATTTTTAAAGTATACAGAACTAGTCTTTAACCCATGACTCCGTCCGCGCTGAATTTAAAAACAACTTAATAGCCTATGTGTTTTTCATCTATGCCAAATTTCATCTAGATCTGTTATGGTGATATCTTCTAAGAAACAACCATCTAAACTCCGCATTATAACATTAGTAAGATTTTACGTAAAAATTGTTTAAGTTAAGGTCTATCACTATTTAATATAACAATTAATATATGTCAATATTTTTCCAGTATGCTTATGTATAAACATAAACATCCAATTGAACGCTTCACAGTCATAGACCTAGATCCATATGGATGTCCATCAATCTTCTTAGACAGTGCAGTTCAGAGTGTACAAGATGGCGGCTTGTTGCTTGTCACCGCGACTGACATGGCAGTTTTGGCGGGAAACTCACCCGAAACTTGCTACAGTAAATATGGTGCTATTAGTTTGAAGACAAAATGTTGCCATGAAATGGTCAGTGATAAAAATTGCATAGTTTTATTTGTATTATTTGTTGATTTTATATTTTTTTTATTTGCGTTGCCTTTAACTAATATATTTATTAATTATAACAATATAAACGAGATAATATGAATTTGTAATTTAAATCTCCACATAAAAAAACTATGTAATTCTTTCGTACTATTTAGCCTAGTTTACCACAAATCTATGTTGACATAATATTTTAAAGTAAACTTTAATTTCTAGGCTTTAAGGATATTATTGCAATGCATAGAATCCCACGCAAACCGCTACGGTCGCTACACAGTCCCTATGCTTAGTATATCTGCCGACTTTTACATACGAGTGTTTGTTAAAGTATATTCCGGAGCAATTCATTGCAAGAAAACTACCAGGTAAATGGCACATTTAAGATAAAAAAATACAATTTTTTATTACAAATTGTAATAAGTTGCAATATACTAGCAGGCCACATACAATTTATCTACCCTAAAATAATTCTAATTAAAAAAAAATCTCTACTGCCCAGTATTTTTTAACTCTTTTTATAAATAAGTTTGTTAATATTATTTCAGCAAGTTATCAATGGTCCACCAGTGTGTGGGATGTGACAATATAACCCTGCAACCGCTGGGTGGGTTCAAAGATAATCCTACGGAACGGAATCCTGAACAGATGAAGGCATATTTACCCACCGGGCCAGCTGTGGGTGAGCGATGCACTAATTGTAATCAGAAACATCATGTAAGTTTGTTTAAAAACACAATTTTTAATTAAAAAAATAATCCAGGAATCCAACTGACTGACTACGACGCTCTGATGAAGAATACAAAAAAAAATCTTGAATTAGTTGAGCCATAAAGGTAGCATTTAATCTTTAATTAAAACTAGCTTGCGCGCCTCCGACAGCGCGGAATTAAAAAAACTTAATTGATAGCTTATGTGTTCTTCCTGACTATGTTCCATATATATGTCAAATTTCAGGAAAACCCATGTTACCGTTCTGGAGATACCTTCAAACATCCATCCATCTAAATATTCGCATTTAACATTAGTAAGTTTAGAATTATTTTGCAGCTAGGCGGTCCAATCTGGTCAGCACCTATCCATAATGAGGTCTTCGTATCCAAGGTCCTGACACACGTGCAGGAGCACCCGGATCTCTTCGGCACTGCCAAGCGACTGGATGGAGTATTGTCTATGGTCAGGGAAGAACTTATGGATGCACCACTCTATTATATCTTGGATAAAATGTTTGGAAGAGTGCACTGTGAGACAATGCCCATGCTGGTTATGAGGTATGTATTGTTTGTTACTAATATTATTATAAATACGAATGTTACATGGATGGATGGATGTTTGAAGATTTCTCCGGAACAGCTAAATGGATTTTGATGAAATTTGGCATAGGTGTAGAGCGAAGTCTGGAAGATCACATACTGATTAAGTTTTATATTGATTAAGCGCGGACGGAGTTTTGAGCGACAGCTAGTAAACACATAAATATATAACTAATAATATATAACTATGAGTTGCCATTTTACATGAAAAATAATCAAATTTTTACGTTATTTAACAAACAAGAATAAGGTTTTTTTGGGCTGTTATTTTTTTTAAGCTAAATTTAACTTTTTTTCTATATTGTTTTTTTATTTCTTGAATTTGGCCATATTAAGTGATATATTTTTATTTACATTTTTCAGGTCAGCAATTTTGAATGCCGGGTACAAAGTGTCATATTCCCATGCGGCCAAATTGTCCGTGAAGACCGCTGCGCCTGCGCATGTCATTTGGGACATTGTACGCACCTGGGAGAAAACTCATCCTGTCAAACCGGCTAAGTCAGTTTTTATTCATTTTTACACTAAATAATAACATCATTTTTTAATTAAACAAAAACCGAGACGGTACTTTTACTAAGACAAATGTCAAAATCTACAGACAAACAAACACACATACATATGCGCGAAAAATATAGCAAGATAGCAGATTAAACATTTTTTTCGTTTGTTTTTTACATAATTTCTTATTTATTTTCCATAATAAATAGATTAGAAGCAGATCCGGTAGCAAGATCTATATTAAGCAGGGAAACAGAGACAGCAATAGACCTGAGCGAGAGGGCAGATGCAAATCCCATCAGTCGACGTGACGGACGTTTAAGGTTTCAGTTCAATCCCACTCCGTATTGGGGACCTGGCTCCCGAGCTGCTATCAAGTAAGTATCTTTGCATAAATAAATCATAAACTCGAGAAGTTAAAAAAAAAATAATTTCTTTTAAGTTACCAAAAAGGAAAAACATAAAAAAATTTAATACAAAAAAATATTATTTTATTCCTCAACATAGTACTTTGACTTTTTTAGTTTTAAAAATGTGTATTTTATTCTTATGGTATACATTTTTTATTTTTAACAGTGTCGGTGACGAAAAAATGTCCAAAGCGATAAGAAATCAGAACAAACATAAAAACAAAGAGAGGCGGCAAGGAAAGCGAGAGCACTCGCCGAGGAGTGACGAAGAAGCCCGCAAGATACACGCCAAGACAGATGATGAAAATTTGGAAATAAAAAATTAAAACCCGACTATTCGTTTATTTACTGCCACTTGTAGAATAAATGGAAAGCTATTCATCTTCTCACATTAATGTATCTTTATCAATATGGTATGTTCGACTCGGGAAACTAAAGGACGATTTGTGCGAATTAAAAGATCCTATGCAAAAAAGTAGTTATTTGAGAAACTGCGCAATAATGAAATATGGCAAAAATCTATGTTTCAACTTTATATTCATTATATTGATGCACTTTTATCTTTGCCACAAGAATTTTTCTGGTTTTATTATTTAAAGTTTTCGGTCCATACGGATATCGTTTCAGAAAGAATATTAAGTTGTCAATGTCATTTGTGACATTTCTAGACACAGAAATCACAAATATAATGCACCGAATTTCAGAGGCCACATAAACTCTTCTAGATCGTAGCTTGTTCCATATTTATTCAATTAAATTAGAGTGATATTAAATTTAGTAGCATAATATTTCAGTGACGTGATTCATGAATTGATTGTGATTGACCATTACAAAAGGAAGTATAAAACAAGACAAATTCCCGATTTACCTTATCAAATTATTATATTAAACGCTTCGTTCACGGTCGCACGTGTTGATTTATCAGTTATTTGTTTAGTGTCATGTATATTGACTTCTGAACCCATTGTTTATAGACAAAGAGTGAAATAAAAATAAATAATGTTTTCTTCATCGATAACGTCGTATGTAATTGCTATAATTGCATTTTTATTGCACACTTCTGCGTACGGACAGGACAGAACGGTAAGATTTATATGATATCCGTTTTATTCACGCACACAAAGATTGTGTGTGGTTTGATTCTTTTCTACATTCTTTTACATTTTTCATCGTAATGTTTTGTAATAAACGAAAGTTTTTTTGTCTTGAAAATACAAAAACAATGAAATAATTTCCGTTAGTATTATTTATAAAGGTTCACAGGAAAAACAAACCCATATTTTCTTTATATAATTATATAATTTTATTCCTTTATTTTAGTTATATTTCGTTTATTTTCCTTTAATGTGACAGCTACAATATTAAAAAGTTTAATTGAAGTACAACTCATTATATGGTATTTTTACTTCTTACTATTCCTTTTTTTACTGTTAAATTAACAGAAATTAACCATAAATGAAACATATGCAGATTTTAATACATATAAAAAGTATGATTCCAGATAAATGCAGAGATAAATCCGGGATGCAATAATTGCAGTTTGGAGTCTACTCTAGTTTATATACGAGCAGAAGGACAAACAGACACGATACATCAAGTATGGGATTTCACAAGAGGAATACCTACAATAATATTGGCAGTTTCTGGAACCAACTCAACAATGCAAATAGCCTGGGATGGTATAAGACCAGTGAACTTTACAGTGAATGAAACCGTGCGATACAGTTTTGCTACAGCTATTGATAAGGTATTTTATACATGTTTATGAAATTTATGAGAATGTATAGATCTAAGAATGTGGTTTGGTCTCTGGCTGCCATTCTGAGTTATTGGTCTTCTGAGTAACATGAGTTATGTTGCCATACTAATACTATAAATGCTAGAGTTTCAATGAATGGATATCAGTTACTATGTATCTCTATAACGGCTTAACATATCTCCATGAAATTTGCCACAGATGTAGAACATAGTCTGGAAGGACACATAGTCAACCAAGATTTTTTTAAATTCAGTGTGGACAAAGTCAAGCAAATGCTTGCACTTATATACAAATCTTTACTTTAAAAAATAATAAGTGTCTATAAAAAGACCATAATTTATATCATTTTACATGTAAGGACAGTATTCTTAACAAAGTTTGACATTTGTTAAAATACTGACAGACAAACCCATAAACAGACAGGGATATATTTAAAAAGTATCACTTATTTTGTTTCCAATACCAATATTGTAAAACAAAGTAATAAATAATCCATGTTATGTATTATATATATACATAGCTGAAACTTATCTAAAGTAAACAGATGGTACAGTTCACAACAATAAAGATATCAATTTACATATGTCATGACTCAATGGCCTACTTAATTTGTTTAAATATAATAGCTCTTAACCAAATACAATTAGGTTGATTATTCATCAACAGATATGTCAATCATTGTATTAGTCATTTGCAAAACATTTGCAACTATGAAAGCGATTGCAGCCAGATGTTCATGTTGCAAAATAAGTTTGAACCTATGTGGCCTTATAATTTACTTAACTATTGGTTGACTTCGACTTAGTCAGCGACATTAGTGCATAAAATTAAGCTAGATCTACCTCAATTTTTGTTGAGCATTGTCTAGCTTTTAATTAGCCATGAAATAGGTTTAGGTTATTTAGAAGAAATATAATCTTACTATTATATTATTATAAATGCGAAGGTTTGGATGGATGTTTGTTACAAGGTATCTTCGGAATGGGTCAAAAGATTTTGATGAAATTTGGCACTGATGTATAACATAGTCTGGAAGAACACATAAGCTATTATAACTTTTTTTAGTTTCGCGCAGACTAATTATACTTATTATATCACTTTCAGATCTACGAGTACAATGATCTAGATGACAAGGGTAGGATGGATGAGAAGAGTTGGATACACTCTCAGTCCCTGAAGAGGGTGACATGGGAGCTGAAGGAGCAGATCATTACTGAGAAGGAGGCAATGGTGCGTCTACATGGGACCATGCATCAGAACAGAAGTAAAGACATCATTGATATTAAGGTAATATATAAAACAGTTTGTCTTTTAATTTAGGACTTTCAAAATTTAATGGGTAAACCTGGGGGTAGAGTTAAGAAAGACCCCCAGATCTAGGGGGTCTTGAACCATTTGGGGGTCACTATAATAAAAGAACATTTTTCTTCAGCTCGACCTCCTGCCTTACAAAGACTATGCGACTGAATTGCCTCACCTGATCCACACCGCTAACTCCACACTGGTGGATATCAGCTTGGTGAATCTGACCACTTCGCGGTATTACAACTCCTCGCGTTTTGCCCTGCACCTGGTCCTCGTTAGTACCGACTCAGCGACGGATACTATGCATAATGTGATGAGGAAGAGTTTGGATGATGAACACACACCTGGTGTGTTTGAGGTAATTTTAATTAGGTAGGAAGGTATCTCCAGAATGGCACAATGGATCTTGATGAAATTTGGCATACATATAGAACTTAGTCTGGAAGAATACATAGGCTATTAGATTTTTAATATGCGCAACTGAATCGCAGGCGGCAGCTTTTGATATGAAAAAAAATCGCTTTTATTTTTAAAGTTTATAATATTAATAAGTTTGTAACTTGATTGTATAGATAATTGAAATAAAGACTCCGGCATCGTTATCATCTGAAGCGGGCGGGTTTGTACAATTCCGGCCTGTGGGGTACACGCAGCGCGCGCGCAATGTCGGCTCATCCACAATAGCGCATGTCTCTGACTTCAACAGGTATCTGTCGTCCTGTCTTCTTCCTCACAAGGAAAGAATGGGAAGGGGAAGAGGATTTGATAGAGGAAGGGATACATGAAAGGGAAACATTCTCTTTCTGTGCGACCCCTCCGTTGATTAAAAGCAACGCATCTGTAATTGTGTGTCTATGGACAGTCGCTTCGCCATTTCGGCGAATCTAGCCGCTCGCTCCTTTGCCACCTAATTATCTCTGCTCTTGTAATTGGTAATACATGTACGTAAATTAACTCCCTTTTTTTAACTTCCTGGAGCTTTTAATCCATCAATACTTGTTTTAGTCTTCTACTTTTGTATCCATCCAATACTGTATCTTGTTTGCAGGACATCGTTACCAGATTGGAGCACCCTGAAGACATTCTACAGAGGTTTTGATGAGGGGAATCTTCTGGTACAAGATATGGTGGTGTGTTTCGGAGAGCCTGGAGATGGCTTCTACAAGAGATACAATTATACAGCATGGTAAATATACCAAACATTTCATTTTTTTTTGTTATTAGCTGTCGCCCGCGACTCCGTCCGCGCGGGATTAAAAATAGATGTTAGCCGATTCTCAGAGCTACTCAATATGTTCACAAAATTTCATGAGAATCGGTCAAGACGTTTCGAAGGAGTATGGGAACGAAAATTGTGACACGACAATTTTATATATAACATAATAATGTACAATTTTTTTTCTAATATTTAGCTATAATTAACAGTGTCTTTGGTAGCTTAATACACGAGACTTTTATATTGAAATATACACATACTAGTTGTCGTCCGCGACATCGTCCGGGTGGAATGAATAATTAAAAACTTAACACGTAGGTTTCTTTCAGACTATGTTCTACATCTGTGCCAAATTTCATCAAGATCCGTTAAGTCGTTCCGGAGATACCTTGTAACAAACATCCATCCAAACTATCGCATTTATTATATTAGTAAGATTAGCTATTCCATTTTTACCCGGCTGGCAGTGGGTTTCTGAAACCAAAATCTTTAAACTTATTGTTATCTCTGTTTTGTCAAAGTAAATGACAGGGATTAAGTTACTTTTGATACAAAGATTCGGTTTGAGAAACCAACCGAATCCTTGGTACAGTCTGACGATTTACTTCCCCCCAGGTCATATACAATTGGTTACGGCGCCCCACCCATGGAGGGCTTCTCATTGTTCGTAATCGTGATAATATCAGTGGGTCTGGGCGTGCCCGTGTTGCTCGCGCTGTCCGGCGTGCTGTACGCGGTGCGACGCAAGTACAGGCACAACGCGCACACACAACTCACTAACGAGGACTGACCCTACAGGTACACTTTGATGGACTCTTATACGGAAACATTTGTTGCAAATTAACCCACGTTATAAATGGATAGGCTATGAAATGTAGTATTTTGTGCCTATTTGATTTTTGACATTTTGGCGCTTGTAGCATCAAGCATCAATAGGCGAAATAAATCGGAACGTAGTATTCATTCCAAGCCTGTCCATTTATAGAGATTATTGAGTTAGCCCCTTACTGCATATAAAGCCAATGGTTTCGACATTTTTTTTTTGTTAATAATAATATACTTTTTTTTACAAAATTATCGAATGCATGCATTTTTTATTACTATACAATATTTTTTTATTTTAATTTTTTTTTACTTTTTTAAAGAATTTTTTTGACATAACATCATTAAATAGACCTAAATTTGATTAAATTTTTATCAAAGCTTCATAATTCATGCAGTAAGGGTTTTTGTAAACTAACAATTTTTTTCTTTTTCTTTAGTTGAATTGCTTTGAGTATTTTACCGCGTATTCTATTTGACAGTAGCATACGCAATATTATGCATCTAGAAATGATTTGTTTAGTTTTTTTTTTTTAATTTTGCATTTGTCATACAATTTTACATTGTTACATAGATTTCAATGCATTTTTTATTAATTCCATTTTGACTAAAATATATTGAAAAATAGTTTTTTACTTTGCTTTCAATAAGTGTGTATGCACTTTTATTAACGTTTAATTTATAGATTAGGTAAAATACAAACGTTTCTGAAAGTATTCTTATGATATTTTTCCATTTTAATTAAATTTGTGACTTTTTAATTAATTTATTTGTTACCATTTCGAAAATATATTTCATAAGTTTTTTTATTATTATTCGACTATGAAAAAATGTTACTATATTTAAAAAAATAACACCATAAATCAATTTTGTAAAAAAATAATTGTCTATGACTTTTTTCTAAAAAAATAAAGAGATGTTGGGGATTTGTAAATAAATACATGGAATAATGTTACATTAATATTAAAATCAAATAGTGTTTCTGACTGCAATCAATGTATAATCGTAGCATATTGTCTCTCTCACGTTGTACCACGCTTAGGTTAAACTCTCATCAAGAAGTAATTTATCTACTTTCAAATATGTATAACATTTAAATGTTTTTAATATTAAATCTGTAGACCGGTAAAGTGTACCCTAGCACAGCTGTCACGTTCACGAATTTTCAAACGTGACGCCATTTTTAACCTTGAACTGAGCGCCTAGCTTGAAACATGCGCTTTCGTAACGTCATCGACCAAATGTATACAAGATTTGTTGGTGTACTTACGCCGCGAAAATATCAATTAAAATTTTGCCGATATTACGGAAATATTATCACCAATATTTGTGCTTGGTTGATAGTTGGCGGCTAATGTTAACGGGTAACGATAAGCTTGAGTTATATAAAACGAATTGAACTTTATTATATAGTATATTATGTATAGCATAGACTATATCTTAGCTCGACTCTTATGTAAATTAAATGTATTTAAATTTAAGAATATATGTGTAGGCTCTCATTTAAAATTATTAGTAATTACGGGCAAGATTCATCTTTGTCATAATTCAACTTCACATCGCTAACGATATTGATATTGTTTGAAAAATCTATTTATGCGTCAAGTTTTTAGTAATGTAAATATTGTATCATTGTTAAATTGTTTTTTCTGTGCATTGGTGATGTTTTAGAAGAATTTGTAAATAATATTTTTATAAGTTATTGTTTTTATATTAGTATTAGTTTTATAACGATTTAGACATTTGTTATGTGATATTGAGTTGAATTTCCTATGTAACTTTGTGTTTATGAAGAAAGATATTAAAAAATAAAATTATTAAATTATATTAAATAGTTTCTTTTAAACAACATATACCATTAATTATTTAATTATGGGTTTCATTTTAAGGTTTATTTCTTTGAAAAAAAAAAGTTAAAAAATTTGGAAAAACAAGTTCTACTATAGTGCAATGACAAGATTTTTAAAATTTTAATACAAATATGTTTGTTTATAATAATAAATTATGCCTTGACATATTTACTTGTCTTGCAAACTGCGCAGGGCAATTTATACTTAACCTAAGATGGCCTCTCGGTCGGACGAGACACGCATTATTGTAATTATAAACATTGTCTGTTATATAATGTTTATAAATAAAATTAAAAATCAATTTTATGATAACATCTATTCATTACGACCAGCCAGCGCCTCCGTCCATGCGGAATAAAAAAAACTGTATTAGTCTATGTGTACTTCCAGACTATGTTTTACATCTGACAAATTTCAGCGACATGCATGCAGCCATTCTGAAGAAACCTTCAAAAAACATCCATTCATGCATTCGCATTTATAATATTTGCAATATAATTTATTTTTAAATATATCATGGTAGTGCATAATTTTGTTGGAATTGCTTCGCTAAACCTTTTTACGTGTAGAAGGGTACGATGGGAAGGCACTTTGCAGTATTCAAAATTCTCTAAAAAGATCATCTCATAAGCAGTTTCCAAGCGTTATTAGAAATGAAATATAAATTTCTTAGTTATTTTTATTGTTGTAAAGGTGATTAAAGGTAAATAAAACAATTATTGCTCCATAAAGTAAATAAAAGTTTAAGTATTTAAAGATTTTTTTTGTGTAAAAAGTAAAGCCAACGAGTTTCTATCACATAAGATTGCTACATCAGTCAGAGATCCAAGAAAAAAGAATCCATTCAAGTCAGACAATCCAATATGGCGCGCCTGTCAAACTTGAAGTTTGCCCAAGATGGCGCCACAAAGTTCAACAACGAATTATCTTCAGTATCATTAGAATTGTCTTTTTGTACTGGTGAAAAGTTCGCTTGAGTATTCTGAGGCGTAAACAATTGCCTTTTAGCTTGTTTCTTTTCTTTTCTATAATTATTACTTGCATTATGTTTGCTGGTACTTGCATTGCCCACATTCTCTTGAACATTTCTTTGTGCGCTGTTCCCTTGGTTACCATGATTACTGTGGCCGTTATTCTTAAATTTATGTTCATTCTGATATTCCTGGATCTCATTTTGTAAACCGGATGAGATCTTTTTATTTTTGTTCGTTACTGATTCTAATTCGCCCATAGACTTGTGTCTCATTCTTCTAGTACTATTATATACTCTGGTACTTCTTTCTGCTACCCATCGTCTCATACGTTTCACAAAAGGGACTACCATGAAGAAGGCATTGGGTCCGACACCAATTTTCACTTTAGGCGTCATATCTTTCCTATTTGATGGTAGATCTGCTAACGGGAACCACTCACAAGCCTTAATTTCATTCCTAGTACGAGGCTGGAACTTTGTATCTCTTGGTATATAACCTATTATGTATAGGCGGACTATTTGATCATGTATCATAGCTTCTATGTAATCATTCTTGTTAATTAATTTACTTATATCAAATCCCGTTTCTTCAAGCACCTAAAAAGATTTATTAATGGTTTTATAATAAGGCTATCTAAGAAGGGAGTGAATTTAGCTTTCATGGCTGATAGAGATAATTTAAAGAATAGAAAATATTTTGCTGACTCCATAGGGAAAGGGGTGGGTAGATGACATACTAATCTCGCACACTTACCTCCCTTGCGGCACACTTCCAAGGTTCCTCATCCTCATTGACTTTGCCTTTGGGGAAGCCCCAGGAGGCTTTAGTCCAATATGACTGCACTAACAGGACATGAGTTAATTCCGTATCCAGCAGGATGGCACCGTAAGTCGGCACAGTCTGCTTGTACTCCCGCCAGTTGTCCAGAACTGCATCCAAACTGCTGATATGCTCTCGCAGTTGTGGCACATGCTGAAAGAAGAATGGATTGTCCATATGAAAGTCAACTCACCAGGCTATTATGCCACTTTTTTATTTCTTAAGAACAATATAGTATCCTTATGTAATAAATGCAATGTGTCACTAAACATAATATACAAAATATGTTAAATTAGACATAGTGCAGTTGACATTGATTTGTAATTTTTATTGGAAGACTGTGAATCTAACAGATAAGCTTTAAAGTTTTTTCTCTCTACAGTTTTAGATTTTATTTGTTAAAAGTTATCAATTTCAAATATTAATAAACTTACCTGAAAAATGTGTGCAGCAAACTCCCTTATACCGCATGGATTGAGACGTTTTGTTTCATCAGTACAATAATAGTCTAAATAGAACCAATGTGCCAGTTCTATTTGAAAACATATCCGGACTAGATTGCCTCTGTCCTCCGGAGGCAAGTTGATTATGAAACGGCTGGAAATTGCAAATCATTTTATTACTTTTTTTTTTAAGTGCTAAAATGTGGCGGAAACATAGTGGCGACTATTGGTGTCATAACACTAGAGGAACTGTTGTTTGGAATGACCGTCAAGTACAGATGATTAATTTAATAATAGAATAACCACCACGTCTATTTTTAAAAGGATAATATTTATTTAAAAATTGTCATTATATACTTAACAGATATATAACATTCAATGTTTATACATGCATTATTTTTCCATAATGCATGATCCCAATAAGAAAATAATATAAATATACTACTATGTTAACATTTTCAAACTTAATATATAGTAGAAAATTGCTATTTTTCTCTTAGAATATTAATAATATTTTTGTGTGATTGAAGTAAATATTCTTAGGGTATTGTTGGGTATCTTAATTATTTATATTACTGTAAAATTTACAACTTTATCGTTAATAGTTTACAATTTATTCTGTTAAAATGCAATTATTTTCAGCAAGGAAATTGTGAAGACTACACTACTTTCCAGCTATGTAAGAACAAGGGTCTATATTTAAGCAAAATAAATTTAGCAAATGATCAGCTGTCGTCAATATCGCATCAATATAACTTTAACAATTAGCAATATTCATAATTGTGATACAAACCTGCATAAATCGTCAAGAATATCTGTAGGTATGGAATGTTTGATCTCGTGAGTATTTCCTGTTGATCCCATGCTTCTTAACTAAAGAGGATTCTGTAAAGTTTAATACCACTTCAGTCTAAACTTTTAAGTAAAGTTCTTAATACCAAATAATTATTTTTTATTTTTCAAGCATTAAGACCAATAAATGCTAATAAATAACAAAATTTTGATAAATAACAAACATTGCGCATTTATACCAGGACCAAAAAAGCACAGATAATAATGTTGTAATTCCGTTCTACTATATTTTGGTGTTGTATGTCCAAAATTGTCACATATTAATTTTAGATATTTTATTGTTGGGATTCATAAAAAGGGGGAGGTATATTAAGTAAGAATCTACTTTCTCATTTGCACTAAACATAATAAAACAGCAAATTATAATATCCCCTTTTATGGTTGTATGATTCATGCTACCGTCTTTTACAGAATAAAAACATTGGATTTCGTTGATGGTTAAAATGTCAACGTCACCTGTCAAGTTACTACATGACAACTTCAAGTTGGCACTTGCGCTGGGTATTAAATATTTATTAAATTCTAGATTTTACCTCAAATAAGTTTGTAAATATTGTAACACATTTTAATAAAAGAAAAAAAATGGATATAACACCACTATTTAAAGCTTGTATAAAAACAGTAAAGACACGGAATAAAACATTCGGTATTCAAAGTCCTAGTAATGACGATAAGCAACGATTACATAGAACAAAACCGAAAAGCGAATTTTCTTTAACCGCACAAGATATTACCTGCCAAATTACACGATTAAGAGATTTTTTATTGGAGCACAGATCTAGATATTTGAGTTTCTTTAACAATGAAACTGGAGATGAGATGAGTGAAGCTGAGAGAGATCAAATCGATACTGGCGCTCAGAGAATTATTAATACATGTTCACACTTGCTAAAAGAGTTCCGAAATGACAATCGTAAGGTGGCTGTTTCACCACAAATGAGAGACTTTATGGATGCAGTAATAGATTTAATTGACACATATTTGAAAGCTGTTTGCAAAATCCACAGCGAACTTAAAGCTTTGAGAGTTAAGAGAGCTCTAGATATTCGTAAATTATCCCGCCTGGAACCTCCCACAACCAAGTCTTCAGTACGGAATCGTTTCAATCCCAAAAAAACTGAAGAAAACAATGAGGATAAAGTTTTTAACAGTACTGAGTTGGATGAGAATGATTTGGTGAAGACCAAAATGGATTTATCAGAGAGTGAAATGGCAGTAATGTCAGATGAAGGTGAACTGGATTCTGAGGAGCTTCAGATATTTGAATCTGAAAATGTTCAACTTTTAAATGAACTAAACAGCATGACGGAGGAGGTGAAACAAATTGAGAGTAAAGTGCTGCATATTGCAGAATTACAGGAAATATTCACTGAAAAGGTAATTACAATAAATCCAAATAAACCTTTATACAATTTAAATATATACAAATTTTATTTCCTTATAATAGATTTTTTTTATAGATATTAGCCAATTCTCATATGTACTGAATTTATGCTTATAAAATTTCGTAAAAACCGGTCAAGACATTTTGGAGGAGTATGGTATCTAAAATGACAAGAAAATTTAATATGTAACATTTTTTGACCTATTAGGTAGAAATGTTTGACAAAATTTTAGATTTTTTTTCTTTTTCAGGTTCTTCAACAAGAACAAGATATAGACAGGATATCAAATACAGTTGTGGGCGCAACGGAAAATGTGAAAGACGCAAATGAACAAATAAAACAAGCAATACAAAGAAATGCAGGACTACGAGTTTACATTCTATTCTTTTTACTAGTCATGTCTTTTACTCTGCTATTTTTAGATTGGTACAATGAATGAAGCATTAAAAATGTATAATTATGTATTATGTAACTGATGTCTAAACTTATAAATAAAAATTGTTTCAAAAGATAAATGATCGTTTTCTTTTTATTTTTGATTCTTTTTACTAAAAGGCTCCTTTCAAGCAAATCTTATGTGAGCATTCCATTTTTCTAAAACTAATTATTATTTTTAGTAAAGGTCTACTGTTTGGAATAAGCCAGACGTGATTATAAATAATCCTTGTGAAGTTAACGATAATTAAACAATACCGACCAAGCCCATCTCAATCCATCCCATTCCATAAGTTTCAAGTCACCTGTTATGGTTTATGGATTTAAAAGCTTTCAATATTTTTAAAGCAATTTACATTCTATTCCTTTGCAATAAGGTTGAAAATTACTCGTAGACATATTAAGGAGTATACAAATATAACTGTCAATGTCAAATATCCTATATCAATTTTGATAGATAGATGCAGTTGCACGCAGACGTGTTGCACTGAAATCAATAAAGCTGTTATCCCAAGTTTATTGATTAAATCCCGCCCGGGTCCTAGCGATGGCAGTTGCCCTCGAGCTTTCCTGTGCAACGAACACGTAATCGAAGTTGTTGTTTATTTCCCCGCCCTACTGTATTTACAAACGCCTCAATGTCAAAAAAAACACTAACCAAAATAATATCTTCGGTGGAAAGAATAATTTCGCCGAAATTATCAAAGCTTACTCAAGATTGCTGCATGTTTTGCTCAGATCTTATGAACATGGCTGATGTGACTATGGCCCTGTCTGACATGGGATATGCTTTTAATGCCGGTAAGAATAAAATCTGATTTGAATTGTGTTTTGTTAAAATTATCTTTAAACATGTACGCTAGTCCACCAAACTTATATTTCATGAGAATGCTTATATTTAAATTTTAATGAAGATTTAAAATACAATTAAATATTAGAAGGAACCTAATTTTTGGATTGCACTTTTTAAATTATTACTAATTATTTTACAGACGGGCAATTGAGGAAGCTTGGAAAGTACAAGATGCTAAGCGCAGAGCCATTCCAGTACGACATAAGTACTGACGCAGAAGAGTGTCAGGCCAATTACGAGAAGCTGGGAGCTGTTGTTACTAATTACGTATACCAACTCCTTGAGTCACAGGAGAAAATGATCCGTCTGCCAGTACCAAAAGATTCAACTCGCGAAAATGGGTCCTTTATTTATGTTTCAAGGGATTATGACTTGAAAGATGTATTGCTGGTTTTAATTCAAGGTTCAGGGGCAGTAAGAGCTGGGCAATGGTCACGGGCGTAAGTATATACTTTTATCGTAACTATCCTAGAAAAAAAACGCTCCATGGATGAGTTAGTTATGTAAAATTCATATTTGCAGCAGGATTTGCTGGCTGACATAAATTCTTGTTAATTTTGATTTTACTTTACAAATTTATTTTTAATTTGAATATTTTCAGTTTGATCATCAATGAAAGTTTGGATGTAGGAACACAGATTCCATATGTAAAGAAAGCTATTGGTAAAGGCTATGGAGTAATGATTTTGAACCCTAATGACAATTGTCGCGGCGACCAAAAGATCCCTCACAGCGCTACAGGAGAAGAGCATGCAAAATATGTATGGGACAATTATATAAAAGATACCAAAGCTTCAAAGATATTGATTGTGGCACATAGCTATGGAGGAGTAATTACGGTGACCTTGGCTGATCAGTTAAAGGAGGAATTTGAGCAACGAGTTAAAGGTATTGCCATGACAGATTCCGTACATAGCTACAGCGAGTTTAAAGTTACCGATTATCTCAAAAAGGTATGCATATAATATTAAAGACTTTTGTATGTTTGAAATGAATTTAGTTTAATATATTTGGTTATTTAAGGTTTCTAAGAATTGGATATCTTCCTCCGCACCACTTGACACACCAATGAAAACACCGGAGTTTGACATAACCCGAGTCTCTGCAGGTAATTTTTTTGTTTTATTATAGAATAAAAAGGTCTATTTTGTAAAGGTAAGTAATTACCAAACTTTTCTGTTAGACTGTTAGTAATTTCTTGTTGTTTCTGCAGGATTCTTGGAGCATTTTCGACTTTTTGAGGTAAAGAGCCTCAAGCATGATTTTAGAAAAAGATAGTGATTTTGGTTATGCTAAGTTCTTAATATTATGTAGATGCTAACTTTTCCAAGTGATCAGTAATATTCTAGTGTTAATATGCAGGCGTGTTAATATATTAAGTTATTTAGGTTTAAGAGCTTTGCGTAAATTAAATGAATAAAGCTATATTTAATAATTTGCCAGGCTTGTGTTATTATAATAAATATTTATTAAGCAAATATTAACAATAAAATTGATTTCACATATTTCGATAAACATATTTAACATTTGTTGCGTATTGTGCATACCTTTTAAAGTATGTTAAGATTATTACAAGATGCGTTTGTGTTATAATCAAGTTTAATTTGTGCTGATGCGTATTTTAGGGAAGAATTTAGTAACAATATGGCTAGAAACAACAGATTTTCACATTAATTCATTTTAATTTTGTATAAAAGTGTAAATTTTTTTTACAGGACACCCTCGTCATGAGATGACCTCAGCCAAGTGCATAGATTCCGTGTTTACCTTCTTGGAGAAGAAATTGACATCCAACTAATTTGAAATGTTCCATGCCACTATAAATTCTTTGTATGACAGCAAACTCGCCAGGCGATGTGGCACTGAATGTTGACAAAATTATCAAAAATATTTTATTTCTAAAAGATTGATGTTAGAATGAATGTTTCTATAAAATAAATAAAATATATTTCAGTGTTAAATAAAAATTTAATTCTTTCTATTATTTCTTTCCCTTAGAATAATTTTTCATCCAATATTTAACATCTTGTTTGTCAGCTCTTATACCTAAAACAGCGGATTTTGAGTTAACATCTTTCATAGCAAATGGTGAGAAACCTGCAATGTAGTCAGGGTCCATTGCATTTGTTTTCTTACGTGCCAGTTTTGTTGCAAATCTTTTATGTATGTGTTGGTCTTCTGTTAATATCGGATATTGGAAGTGTTGCCCTCCTTTCGGTGTTGGTAAACTGAATCTTTTACCTCTTGCAGTGAGAGGTTTACGTCCATTGATATGAATATGTTGATTACCCTCGTCATCAACACTTACTGCTACCTTTTTTAAAGTAGCATGCCCGCATTTTGAACAAAACAACTTAGTCATCACACTGGTTGTTTTAAAACATGTTGTGCAACGAAAAATAAATGTACGGAGCTGTCTGATAATTCTTCCATCTATAGCTGTTACGTTTAAACCTATTTGTTTTAAAACATTCTGCATAGCAAAGTCTGAAGTAATACAAGCAACTTCTACATTTTTCTCTTCAAACTCTCCCATTTCCATATCTTTTTTCTTTTGCGCTAAGTTTGATGGTGTGATCCATTCTTCTCCATCACTGTCTGTTTCGTCTTCACTTTCTGAATCCTCTTCCTCATCAGAAACTTTAACCATTACATTATTTAGTTCACTATCATCTTTTAAATCTATGTTTTTTATTTGTTCAGCAATGTCTTCTGCTAGTTCTTTTTCCTTCTCTTCAGTGTTTACTGAAAATTTGTTTTCGCATTCTAAGGTTTCATTTTGTTTTAATAAATTCTCATTAGATTTTTCAACATCGGAAGAATTTGCTTCATTATTGTCTGGGAATTCTTTTTCTTCTTTGTTCTCAACATTGTCTTTGGATTCTGGATGAAGATTGAAATTGGATAAACCACTTACTTTAATAGTCTTCTGCATTGTCGGTTCAGATTTAAGATGTTCAGTACCAACTTTTTCTTTCTCGAGTTGATACGTCAGAGCTATTACCTTTATGTCGGTAGCAGACAAACTCGTGTAATCTCCGGTCTTCTTTGAAAAGTCTGTGACGAACTTAATATTTTCAGTGAAAACATCTTTAACATTTATATCGTACGGAAGAACGACAAGTTTCCGACGTTGTCTATCATTTGTTATTTCATCAATTACTTCTTGCACTGTGTAAACATTATCAGCTATATTTAATAGATTCTCAGCTTTTATGAAAGCTGTCGTATCGACAACTAAGTATTTAATCTTTTTCGACATTTCTTAGCGTTTTGCACACAAAACAATATCTTCAATTTTAATTTTGTATGTTTCTCAAATTATAAACACGTGCATAGAAAATTAAAATATGACATTTGTTTGACATAGACTTATGTCAGCTGTCCAAGCATTTTTATTGCCACATTAAGCCTTTAATTATGTTAGTCTGTTAAATATGATAATAGCTTGGCTTTAATAAAAATTAATTATTTACAAATATCTTATTTAGTTAACAGGTCGAATTGTGGATAATTTTTGTTTATATTTAAATTGAAAAAAACTACATCAACATCAAAGAGATACTTGAGAGAAACGCTCCCTCCCTTTCCCTCCAATTCACTCTTTGAGCTATTTTGACTTATGTCATTTGATTTGGCATTTAGCTATTTGGTTTTATTTAGGAATCTAGAAATAGGAAATTTTCTCTCTCGAGAGTAAACAAATTGGATTACTCTTAGTTTTTTCATTGTTGTGTTATGATAGATTTTGTAAGATTATGTCTAACATGAATTCAAAGAGAGGTAAAAGAAGTATGGGGAATAAACATTTTCCTATAGCTGAATCTGTTAGTATAGCGTTGAAAATACAACTAGATAAATTTCTAAATGACGAAAATGAGACAGAATTAAAGTTTCCAACCTTCTTGTCGGCCCAAGAGCGAGGTTTTATTCATGAGACAGTGGCGAAATTGGGTCTAAAATCAAAATCGCGCGGGAAAGGTATTGTTACAGTTTTGTTATAAATTCCTCGCGTCGTACTTTTTAAAAAAAAATAAAAAACTTTCCAACAAAAAAGTCAAATTATTTACTTGTATACAGAACAGAAAAATTATCAAACATTCCCAATAGTAAAAATTTTAGTGAAATGTTTTGCAAATCAAATAATTTTGATTCTACAATGTTGTGCAATGTCACGTTTGGATAAAAGTTATATTAAACAAACGAAATAAAATTGCCTGACTCATAATGATTATATTTGAAATAATATACACTTGCAATTTTATCACTATCATAAAATTTTAACTATTCTTACATACCTTTACCTTTTACGAAATTATGTTCAATTTGCAGGTGTGAATCGTTATTTAACAATATACAAACGTGTAGGCTCCACGATTATCCAAAATGATGCTAAACTGATACTAGATTCTAACATGAGATGCAGCATTGTGGAGATGTTGTCTTCATTTCCGCTGACAAACAAAGAGAGAGATGATTTAAGTATTGGCCCTGAAAAGGAAAGAACACCTCAACTAACTCACAAAGTGCTCGGTCAATTGAGTAATGGAGTTGCTCAAGTAAGTGTGAAATAATTTCAATTAACTTTGTTTTTCACAGAATGATGTGGTATTCGCTAAACTTTCCGTCTTGTATAACTACGCTGGTCTGTCAATGAACAAACCTCATCCTCAAAGACTTGCAAACCTTTGGGCTTCATTCCTCACCTCTCCGTTGCTGGTATTTCCACTGTTTGCATAACCTTATTATATAAAACCTTTTTTATCTCCTTACAGATTCCAAGCACAACATACAACCCAGATTTGGTTAAGTTCAGAGAAAAATTACCAATTTATGAACAGCGACAGGAACTTATCAATGCTATAACTCATAACCAGGTACATAATATGTTTTCTAATTTATTTTTAACCCCAATTGGGTGTGTATGTCAAAAATATAAATTAGTGCACAAAAACCCAACCTTTTAAAATTTTGATCTATCAATCTGTGTGTCTGATTTTGGCCATGGCTTATATTTTACTTTTATATCCTGCTCTGTCCGAGTTGCAGGGGACCTCTAGTAGGTAATAAAATGACTATAAAAAACAAAATAATATATAATTTATGAGTTTTAACATGTAGATTAAATATTTAGATTAGAACAAGGATCACCAGTCATAACTGATTAGTTATACAAGTACTAGAAACTATTATACAAGTACTTTTAATATATGAAAACTTTTCCAGGTGATAATAGTATCAGGTGCTACGGGCTGCGGTAAGACGACACAGCTGCCCCAGCTGGTGCTGGACTGGTGCCAGGAGCATAAGCAGCCAGCTCGAATCTATTGCACACAGCCTCGCAGGATATCTGCTGTTTCCGTCGCTGAAAGGGTCAGTACCTTTTGTATTTACACCGAAACTCGTTACTATATTTATGTAATGAGCCTCGTTTTCTATAGCTTTTATATTAATTTTCTATTATTTAAAGAAAGATTTTTAATTGTAAAGCGTAAATAGTGTGTGTCGCTCTCTTTTACTCCAACCTAAAATTATATCTTCCATCTCTTTCATGCAACAAAATATGCCTAAATGCAGTTTTTCTCATTTTAGTAATGGTTAAGGAATTTTTGTTTTTTCATAGGTAGCTTTTGAGCGTATGGAGAAGATAGGTCAGTCTATAGGTTATCAGATCAGACTGGAGTCCCGCATCAGCCCGCGTACCGTGCTCACCTACTGCACCAACGGTGTGCTGCTCAGGACCCTAATGGCTGGAGAGAACTCACTTGCAGGTAACATTTACCATCCATGACTAACACATACTAGCTGTCGCCTGCGACTGTTTCAGTAATATTTTCCATCTGTATGACGTGACAGGCGTGACGCACATCTTCGTGGATGAGGTTCACGAGCGTGACAAGTTTAGTGACTTCCTGCTAATAGCGCTGCGTGATGCACTACCTCGCTGTAAGGACCTCAAGTTGCTGCTCATGTCTGCCACCTGCGACACACAGATATTCTCCAGGTAAGAGAGACATGGAGAGATTTAGAGTCGTTCTCTAGGTAAGAGAGACATAAAGAGATTTACACTTAGTAACATGCTCTGTGCCTCTCCGCTGCAGTACCATGAGCTCACAACTACAGTCTGTTTGTGTCGGAGAACCCATTTTACTACTCTTTTCCTTACCACACTTTTATTATAAGGAAAGGATGGGGAAGGGTAAGTGGATTTGATAGGGGACGCATAGGAAGGGAAAATATTCTCTTTCCGTGTGACCTTTGTCGATAAAATGTAGGCTCATGCAAATGCAGATGTCTATGGGCAGTGGTCGCTTCGTCATTTTGGCGAATTCATTGCAGTGATTTCTTGCTTATTATGTAGATACTTCAACAATTGTCCCGTGGTGAGTATCCCTGGCCGTCTGCACGAGGTGCAGCGCTACTACCTGGAGGATGTGCTGAAGATGACCGGGTACCGCAGCCGACGCATGCTGCAGGCGGAGCGGGAACTCAAACAGAAGCGCGCCAATGGACATAGCTATTGGAACTATCTAGAAGGTAAGTGTAAGACAGAGACGGATATATGATTAAACTGAATGATAGAAAGAGACGGATATACTTCTCAATAATGTATGTACTAGACAGATATACGCCTAAGCAATGAGTGAAAATGGGAGTTTTATAAAAAAATATACAAACAAGAACGGGATAACCTAACTTCGAAAATGGCTTTCTATGATACGAAAATATGTTAACAAAAAAAATAATAGTAACCCTTACACTCCCTTTCTTCTTCTAGGTCAGAAGCAGAGTACGGAAGAGAGTAACAGCAGTTTGAGTAAGGAGGAGAAAGAGAATACAATCGATCCCGCTCTACAGACGGACATGGATGAGTTTCTAGAAGAGTGTTTCAAAGAAGGAAGCATGGTAACAAGAAAATTCTAATTATTTTTTTATTTAACTTTGAAAATATCTAGCAATTATAATACTATCGTCTTTTATGTTTCAGGACTCGTTTTGTCAAATCCTGTACATGTATATGTCTGAGGGTGTGCCCGTGCAGTGCGCTCAGTCGCGCTCCGGACGCACAGGACTCATGGCCGCAGCAGCACATGGACATGCGGAGACAGCCAAGCATATACTGCACATCGGTCAGTACATACACCAAAGACAAACAGACAAACTATCAAAATTCTATATATATAATCTCTCTTCCAGGTGCCGATCCAAATTTTAAAGACAAAACTGGTAAAACTGCCTACGATTACGCCGTCGAGAACGGTCATACAGAGTGTGCGAAGCTCTTAGCTTCATTCAGCTCAAACGAGGAGACCAAAGACAACCAGGAGGACAACGCCGCAGACAACTTCCTGCTTGACGTATACCATCACTCCATCTCCGAGGAGCTGATCGACCACGACCTCATGCTGGCGCTCATCAAACACATCCACGTCAACCTACCCAAGGGAAGCATCCTCGTCTTCCTGCCCGGGTACGACGACATCGTGGCGCTGAGGGACCTCATACAGTCCTGCGCAGAAATGAACGTCCTCAAGTACCAGATATTCACTCTGCACAGCAACATGCAGACGCTCGACCAGAAGAAAGTCTTCAACCCGCTGCCCAATGCCAGGAAAATAATAATTTCCACCAACATAGCGGAAACGTCGATAACCATTGACGATGTGGTGTACGTGGTGGACTCGTGCAAGGTGAAGGAGAAGTACTACGAGTCTAACGGCGGCGTGTGCTCGCTGCAGTGCGTGTGGACCTCACGCGCCTGCTGCCAGCAGCGTGCCGGACGCGCCGGACGCACCAAGCCCGGACACTGCTTCCACATGTGCTCCAAGCGCCGCTTCAACACCCTGCCCCTCAACTCCATCCCCGAGATCCTGCGCGTGCCGCTGCAGGAGCTCTGTCTCCACACCAAGCTGCTCACTATCAGCAACTCCCCCATCGCAGACTTCCTCTCCAAGGCCCTCGAGCCGCCCTCCTTCCTCGCCGTGCGCAACGCCGTCTCCCTGCTCAAGACCATCGGAGCCCTCACCGCCAATGAGGACCTCACGGAGATCGGCCAGCACCTGCTGGACCTCACCGTGGAACCCAAGCTGGGCAAGATGCTGCTGTACGCGTGCGTCATGAAGTGCCTCGACCCCGTGCTCACGATAGTCTGCAGCCTCGCCAACAAGGAGCCCTTCCAGATCTCCATGAACCCGGAGAACAGGAAGCGCGGCAGCCTCGCGCGCAAGGACTTCGCCTCCGACAGCTACTCGGACCACATGGCGCTCCTGCGCGCCTTCCAGGCCTGGCAGATGGCGCGCTCCAACGGCACCGAGCGCGCCTTCTGCGCCAAGAACCTCATCTGCGGCGCCACCATGGAGATGATCGTCGGCTACCGCTCCCAGCTGTTGGCGCAGCTGCGCGCCCTCAGCCTCGTCAAGGCGCGCGGCTCCGGCGACATCAAGGACGTCAACTCTAACTCGGAGAAGTGGCACGTCGTGAAGGCCGTCCTCGTCAGCGGCCTCTACCCTTCCATAGCGCGCGTCGATCGCGACACCTGCACCCTGCGGACCTCCAAGGAGGTGAAAGTGGCCTTCCACCCGAGCTCGACGCTGAACCGCGGCACCGGCGTCGCCGGCTCGCAGAAGTCCGTGCAGACCCTGCCCACCGACTGGGTCGTGTTCGAGGAGATCTCGCGCGCCGGACGCTTCTGCTTCATCCGGTGCAACACGCTGGTGACGCCGCTCACGGTAGCGCTCTTCGGCGGGCCGCTGCGACTGCCGGCCGCCGCGCTCTGCCAGCGCGCCAACCCGCCCGGACAGTCCAGCGACTCGGACAGCGAGGTGGATGACCACAACTCGGCGCGCGACTCCGCCGTCCTCATCGTCGACGACTGGATGGCGTTCTCCGCGGACGCGGCGGACGCCATCAACGTGTTCCTGCTGCGCCAGAAGCTGTGCGCGCTCGTGGTGCGCCGCATGTCCAACCCCTCCAAGCCGATGACGCCGCTCGACGAGCAGATCCTGAGCACGGTGGTGCACGTGCTCGGCGCAGAGGAGAAGAACGTCGGCCTCAGCCAGCCCAGCGG